TGAAAAATACCGTAAGAGGACTGTACTGACAACCATTGCTCTAGAAAAAAACAGATGAGAATAGTTTGTAGCCAAAAGGAAGAGAGGAATAAAAACTCTTGACCTTGTTTACTTATTTCATGGTGAAGTAATTTATCATACACAAGAATGTCAACGTAATTATGAAAGGGACATTTATTAAAAAAGTGAAAATCTTTAAGATTATATAAAACTGACTAAATTTTTAAAAGAAGCTAGCATGATGCATGAGGCTAAAAATCACCTTTTGTATTTGCAACAAATACCTATGAAGGAAGAATACATTCTACAGAAAAACAAAGTCAAGGTCCATCAAGAAGCAATTAGTAGGTAAAAACAAACAGCTTATTTATAACACATAGAACACAACACTGTTAGGATTAGATCACCTTAACTAAGTAACTGTGCATGATGCTATCCCAGTCATAAGGTTTTCTCCAAATATAATTTAGGAATACAAATTTAGAAGAAAATGATCCCTAATAAAAAGGAACTAGCAATCCGTTCTGAAGAAATAGGCTCACAAGATGATCCATGGGATCACGAACCTCTGGGAACAAGAGCTACATGGCATCCTGTACGGAGACAATCAGTTATGAATGGAAGGACACATGTATGTCTTCATGTGGTTCCAATGTCGTTCCCTTCCTTTGTGCAACTTGCTTTCGTTAATAGATCTTATTTCTGAAAACAAATAAAATTCATTGAAGTCTTCATTCCACTTTCTGTTTTTTTCTCAGTAAACTACACATTGCAGTGACTGAAATGTCAGGAGCTTCCACCTACCCCTGGCAAAGGATGACAATGCCACACAGTCCCACCCCAAGCGAGTAACAAAGGCTCCTGCAGGTGAGCAAGTCCGTTGCTGCTTAAAGGGGGAACAAGAAGACCTGACAGCCCAGTTACTTTCTGCTACAGTTACTTTCCAACACAGTAAATGAAAGCAAAAGTAGATAACTTCCCTGTAAAATGATAGACTTGATCCTGAAAAAACAAAAGTCATCCTGGAACAGCTATTAGGGACAAGAGGCTTATAGTTAGTTACTGACTGCATTTCATTGATTGGAAATTATTTCTTGAAAGATTTTTCTTTGGTGAAGATTACAGAATACTAGATACAATTCTATATAAATAGCTTTTTTATGGAATGATCTTTTGCAGGTTATGTAGGATATAGCCAGTTATTTTGAAGTAAAAAATTATCCAGTCCTGTAAAAGTGACTATAAACAAGCTAATTTGACTGGTAGCATTTAATTCTGCTGCCTTTACTGTGTCATAACAGAGACAAACAGCAGCAATCAGCTGGAACACACCTGTGTCAGGTTAGTACAGAAAAAGGGAAAAACATTCTCTCAACTGTGAGGCAGCAGCACCAGGAGGCTGCACATTTCCCAAGTAGGGATACATTCCTTATGCACTTACTCTGATTTGGCAATTGCCCTTTGAATGGCAATTCTATTACACTGAATACTTTTGTGCTTCCAATGTTCTAAAATTCTAACAGTCCATGTCAGAGGGAAAGGAAGCTACCATTGGATCTGATCTCCCAGATCTTTGGCAGTGAAAAAGATACAAAAGGCTAAGTGACCTTAAACTGCAACCCAAGAGCTGAAATGCCATTCATTTCCTTTGATTTACTTGGTATGCATAGCACAAGTACAATGGAAAAAACAGGAGAAGATAAAAAAATCTACGCAAGATTAAATTTAAAGAGATGCTTATGCACAGTGGCTCTTCCCTATGGAACAGCAGAAGAGCTACAGATTTTTTACTAGGAAAAGTGACAAACACACTTTCAAATAGGTTAAGGAAGGAAAGGAATTTAATTTGGATATATATAATAATTAAATTCTCTTTATGAGCTTCTATTTTGATACTTCCAATAAAACTCTCCCACATATAAACTACATGTAAATTCTGTATTACCTGGGGCTGTGTGGCCTTTCATACATTTTTGCAGAAAAAGCAATATTTTCATTAGATGTTAACTGCAAGGAGTTATTTATTGCTAATTAGACCCATAGAAACAGTATATATGAATGCCTGCATTTCCTATTTAATTTTAAAAAATCCCAGTCCCTAAAGCTAAAGGACTCCTTTTGATCTTATCTGAATTTGTGAAGGAATTCAGTAAAAATACTGAGGATGCAGTTTTAAAGCTTTAAATGCAGTTCTGCCTTCACACTTATTCCTAGCTCTTCCCATCTTCGGCCTGCTTCTAGCACTAGCACTCATGCAGCAGCAATTGTTATTTCAGGAAGCTGGAAACAATGAAGATTAATCTGGAAATTGTCTTTTCTGTCCCTTCCAGCTCCCTCAGCTGGCTTGCCACAGGGTCTTATGATTACCAACAGTGGCTAAGAGCAGAGATACAGCAGTTGAGCCTGGAGTGGCTGACACTGCAGCCAAGTCCCACTGGCACTTGCTTTCCCTCTCCTTAAACACATACTCTTAACCCAAACAGCCTCAGCATGAGCACCCGAGAAGTGAAGCAAGAAATCACTGCTGTGACTGGAACAGACTCCCTCACTCTGACCATGTAGTCTGCAGTCAGCTGCAGTTCTTTTGGCTGCCATAGCCACTTGAATGCATGCAAATGAAGCAAAAGCATTTATGTGGCAAAAGCAGAAATTTCACATCTCTTAGTGACAATCTGCTTCCAGAAAGGTTCTTACTTTTAACATGCTTTGATAAAGAATGAGGTGGGGACAAACACCTTTCTCTGGAAGTTAAAACAGTCACAGTGTGACCAAAGTTAACTGGGTCTCAACTAGCGAGGCTTATTAAACTTATTTTCACTTTATTTGATAATGTTCCTGATGGCAGACTCTACTGTGTACACTCCACTAAACTTTTATAGACTACGTTACCACACATCATCTCTGTTTCCTAAGAAATCTCCTAAGTCTACATCCACACAATGCCATAAAATCCTGCTTAATTACTTGGCGTCTATGTGAACACCTTTACTAAGGCGATGCTAGCAGTCCCAAGTTTTCCTTGCCTTTTATAATCAGCTTCCAGGAGACAATGACTTGCTGGCACTATCATGTCCAGTTCAACCTCCCTGATGCATGTCCTGTGTGCACCCTTCCTCCATGTCTCAGTGCTAGTATTTGATCCTTGATAAAATCATATTGGGAAGCTAAAATACCAGAAAATCCTTCCCTGCCTCTGCACTGAACAACCCCAAACATAGCCCCACTACTGGTTTAGCTGCCCAAGGAACAGAGGCTTAATGGAAGGGAAAACTTTTGGCAGCAACTTTTACCGCAAATCATACTCCTGGAACCAAAGCTAATCCAAGTGTGAAAAAAAAGACTCACTGGAATTTGGGCTTTTTTTCTGAAGTTTTCTGAAGTTCATGTAGTCTAATTTCCAAGCACAATATGCTGCTTAAGCAAAAGCATAATTTAAGAACAAATCATTGTAATTTAAGATGTTTATACTTGTAGGAGAAGTAGCAAAACTTTAAATTCTTTAGTTATAAATGTAGCAGCAGAGAGCAATCAATCACAAAACCAATGTTGCCAAAAGAGTCAGACTTTTTACAAGGTTTCTAAATAGCATCTTTAAAAACAGAATGATAAATACTTTACGCAGTGGGTCTGAAAAACATGCATACTTCCTTTTGACTCAGTGCACACACAGCATCAGTAATTCATTAATATCTTTCAAAAGCAACATGATTAGAAAAAAATGTTAGTACATAAAATCATAAAGGTGACCCATAGCATCAATTGTCTTTAGGTATCACTGACAATACAAATGGAAGGCACAGATGGATTCAGGAACTGGTATCATGACAAGGAGAAATACTAAAATACTTCTTGGAAAGTCTGAGATAAAATGGGCAAAATACCGCAGAACAAAAAGCAACAGAAATCAGAAGTTGTCAACTCCAAGGTAAAGTTTACCAGGTGAAGCTAAAAGCCTCAAGCCACCTGAAATTCAAAGGAGATCATCACAACAGTTGAAAGTTATGGGACATTTCCCCAGAATACCAGCTTAAAGCTCTTCTCAAAGTCCATCTCAAATTTACCCTGTACTGTATATAAAGTCTCTTTAGCAAAATATGCAGAAGGGAAGTATGCAGTTCCCTTCTTATACTTGTAATAAATTTTCTGAAGATAGCTTAAAGCCTTTTATAGAACCTTGGAATGAACTTACTGCTAAGAACATTGCAAGTTATATGCTCCTGTCCCCATCCCAAAGAAGTATCTAAGCCTGAAGATGAATTCAAGCTCCAGGGTCACTAGATTTTATACTAAAGTCATACAGAGGATAAATTCATGAAAACATGGTGCACAGTGATAGGTAATTTTTCTTCTACATATCATTTAATATCATGTAAGATGGTGGCTCATTTGAAAAAAGTGGATAGAATGTTAAGTGAAAAGTGAGCAGCTAGATGTTCACAATTAATTTCAAATAATGTGCTTTTGTACAAAAGACATGCAGCTCACTCTGCAACAGAAAGCTCCCTTCACCTGCAAAACAATTATAGCTATTAACAACATTGCAATTACATGTCTGTGGATAATAAGGCCCCATGCTGTCATTTGTCTCCCCAGTCTTCCATACAGTCTGTGCCTTTTACATCTGCAGACCTCTCTTCTCCCATCCCATCCTACTGATTTTTGTCCACATTATTTTGAGATTTACTGTAAAAACAAAGCAAAGCAAAACAACTCTAAAGTGACACATGGCAAAGCTATCCACAGAGCAAATTCAAGAACATGTTTAATGTGAAAAAGCTATTCTTAAATGAATTTCTACTTTAGAGGTCTACTTACACACCATCGTATTCCTTCTGCTTTGCAGAACATAACTGCATTTTAGCCTGAGCTGTACTTTTGTCTGCTCTGGCTTTTATTTAAAGTTACTATAGTGGCATACAAGGTCAGTTCACATACATGCAATTTAATGAAAGTTAGAATATACGCCATGTTAAAAATCTGTCAGAATTAGTTAAGCTCACCTCTTTATCCATACTTTCTAAATCCTCTTTACATAGAGTGTACAGGGGCATTGTTTCAGACATACTTGGCTGGCGTTTCCTCTTAGATGGACCAGGCTGCTCTTCATTTTCACTTCCTGGTAGGTCATCTTCTTCAAACATCTGCTGTTGATGTGGCTGAACAACTCTGAAAAAATAAGAAAGATTTACTTGGTTCAGAGCTACAAATAAAGTCCTATAAACAATTTATGATTGACACATATCTATGACTTTGCTTAATAAAGCTCTGTGCTCATCAACAGGTCAGTCAAGTCTCCTGATTAATGCTTTTATTTTCAGTCTGAGAGCTAAATTTTTATTTTACCTTTGATAACATACTCATTTTCTTGCCTTCGCATTGTTCTTTTACATAACCATCGAACCTTTCTTGTTGCCAAGAGCTCTACTCACTGCAGATGCATTGCCCCTAAAATACATTAATATTCCTGCACAAGTGGAGTTTCTCCATCACCTGATGAATTTATTATTACAAAAGCAATGCTGATATTCTAATACATTTTTCCTGATCTATGCTAGGCTTTTAATTTTGAGTCTCTAAGTACACTCTTCTATTTCTCAACCTTATAGACAAGAGTTCTACATGTGGAAAGAGCACTTCTGACAGTATCAGTCTTCAGACATTTCCCCCATGCTAAGCCTGGATAAGACGCAAACCAGCCAGTATTTCTTTTTGGCTAGTGTATTGAAATATGGTAGCTTTTAATTTTAGTCTGTATTGCATTACATTGTTAATTATTGTATTTAATCCAAACAAAAGAGAATAGCAAAATCTTCATTACAATGGATAAAATAATCACAACTTCATGGGAACTGCTTTATGATAGTAATAATAAGATAGACTACACGCACAACAATAGCAGGAGACTTCTACCTTCCTTGGGTAAATTTTTCTGTGATTATTACTTGGAGTACCAAAGACTTCTAGAAGCTAAAATTACTATATGATACAGATTAACTACCAGTACTGGTCTGTCATATTAACCTCTTGGAACAAATTACAGCAGCTGAGCACCACACAGGATCCAAATCAAAGGTCATAAAGCTCATGGGTCACAAAATATTTATGCTAGCCATAAGACTGTGTATTTGGAGAATGCCTACCAAAAGCAAGTATAAAAGTGACTGCATTTGAAATCACAAGCAGTTTCAAGATGCAGCTACCAGATGAGAGACTAGCAACCTGTTTTTGAGAGTGACTGTGACTGAAAAAAAGTACAGTGTACTCTCAGGGAACTAGAGTTTCTATGCAGAATGGCTAATTCTCATCAAGCCAGGATTTACAAGAATCAGCTTTAGACCAACAGCTCCCCGCAAAAAAAGCCATTAAACTTATGCAAATCCATAAACTTATGCAAACCCATAGGTACGGTCCTACAAAATTATTTCCCCTTTTGTGAACTTGACAACTTCTAAAAATCAAGATTTTTTTTACCTTAGTACTTAAATTCCAGGATGTATGCAATCTGAAAAACATACAAAGCTGTCAATTTTGCTCATTTTGACAGCTTGTATTTAGGAAACACACATCTCTCTTCTTAGATCCCACAGACAGGTGCAGGAAATTTGAAATCTTGTTTTGAATGGGAGATGTGATGGAAAAGAGTTGAGCCACTGCCATGCTACCCAGACCTGCACTATCTGCTGCAGAAGACCCCTAGCAGCACAGCACAACTCAGAAGCACAGCAGACACATGCCCCTTTGTAGTCTCTCATTCCTGTACAGTGGAATTCCTTGTGAAACTTAAACAATTTGGATACCGTGAAAATGAACTAAGCAAACTGGTTTTTTGCTAGAGTTTCTCACCACTGCTAACAGTTTTTGAGTTGATTGTTTTTTTCTTCCCTCTACTATGTTTTTTATTTTAAAGATCACAGTTTTCTTTTGCTAGTAAATTGCTCTCAGACAGTAATTTTCATAAAAAAGTAGATGATGAAAATAATATGGCATTCCACTGTATTTCCCAAAAGGTTCTTTTAAAGTATGATTTCCTTGTCTTTTAATTTACAACCTAGGCAGGAAAAGTGGTGACACCATTCACATTTCTTAGCAAAACAGAGAATGGCAAAACAAAAGCTATAAGCATCTTACACAACTCAGATAAAAATATGACAAGCTTGACCATTCCAAGAATTACAGAGAAATTATATGTAGCATGACAGCCAAGCAGATTTTCTTAGACTAGAAATAATATCTAAATACAGCCAGCATATTTTTTAAGAACACATTGTCATATGGTTGATGAGAACTTCTCCTATTGTAGAATAGAGTGTGAGATCATACTTGACTACATTACACACAAATATTAGCTGTAAAATAACTATAATTCTAAAGGCTCCTGTCAGATGTTTTCCCAGTATTTTCCCACTGCTACTAGATAAACACTGGGCCTTCTCATGAAAGCATTCCAAAAGCAATGTGAAATAAAGTCTTCTTAAAGCTTTGTAAGACATTTTTATTTTGTCAAGAACATTTTTAGGCTTTTACATTTTCAGCTGCCTGTAAAGTTGAATAAAAATTAAAGACATGAAAATGCAAGAATTTACATTTATTTCTAATTGAATGTGATTCGTAAGTACTTTTTAAAAAATATTTTAAAAAATATTCTACCCTGCAGAGGTTGGTTGGTGCTTGCCAGGCTTACATGCACACGGACATATGTGCAGGGTGGGGCCAACATTTGTGGAAGTAACAAACACTTTCCTTGATACATCAGGTGAAGTTAACACTATCATGATGAAAGTGTTAAAAATATTTAAATTCCAGTTACTTATTCAATTTGGCATTTCATATTTTTGCTGTTATAATAACATTGATAACATTAAGTAGGAAAATAGTAACTATGAGCACAAATTCAGACAAAAATGTTGTAAGTGAAATTAATTTATACAAATTTTCAAGTATGGCTTAAGCCACTTACATCTGCTTGACACACCTCTTCAAGCATTCGGTGCATCTTAGCATTATTTTAAACCAGGGGGCCACTTTTAACTTCTCACATGTAAATGACACCCATATTTTAAGCCTTGCCTCATCTGTCATTATATTACTAGTGTTCACTAAAATGTAACTTGCAGTATAATTTTTTTTGTTTATTCTAGTCCAAGCTGCCATTAGCTTTTACATTACTTTGAACAACACTACATTACACGTCTCATGATCTGTTACAACTTTAGTGTTTACTGCAATGTTGGTAGAATGCTGTTTCTGTTTGAAAATGCAAATCGTTGAGATACATAAGGCATGTCAAATAACCTTCTGACAAGTAGGTTATTTTTAGAGAGGAATGCTTCCTGTTCTCAGACAAAGAGGAGCTGCTGGCTACCAGCAGCCCTAGAGCAGCACTGCATTCCCTTTCCTTCTACTACAGCTGCGAACTTTTCTCACTCTTCCGCATGGGCTGCAACAGCCATAATAGGAAAGCAGGTGCTCAAGTCTCAGAGCTGAGCACAATGGCAAGACCTGCTGCTTGAAATGTTGACTACATTAACTGAACCATCTGTAACTCACTGGTGACAATTTCACTGCAAATTGCATGTATAAATTTAAACTAATTATATCCAATTTTAAATTAATATGTTTCAAGTTGAATCCCAGAAAGAAACTAAAAATGTTGAAACCCAAGACAGTGAGAACTGAAACAGTTCTTATGAAATGGTATTCAGAAAACTTGAAGCCCTTTGCAATAACCAGCCCTGCAAGGAAGAGATTCTATCCTTAGTACAAGGCAGTCTATTCTTGGACTAAGACACCAAGAACCATTGCTACACCATGTGCAGTTACCACATCCCCAAGGGCTTCCACTCACAGCAGTGCAATTCTGTTTCCCACTACGTGTAATTCAGAATCAGATGCAGATTTAAGAAACTATCAAAGAAGATTATTGGAGGCTTTGACTACACCCACCCACAACAGGAGCAGTTATGAGTGCCAAGAACTTTATGGTTTAGTTATAAATGTTCCACTCTTTCTGTAGAAGGTGAACGAGGGAGCACATTAAGTCTGTCAGGACAAAAAAAAATTCTCCTCTACCAATAAATTGCTGCATTAATGTAGTTTTTTCTTAAGACAAGTATTATGTCAAATTTTAAAACAGATGTGAAGCTTTTCTAAAAAGCTATCATTGATGTACAGATTAAGATAAAGCTCACAGCATTGCCTCAGCTCTTCCTCAGTTAAGACAGAGCAGAGCCACTTCTATTCAGTTTTTTGTTACTACTTTACTGCCTTCCTGCTCTGTCTGCACTGTGGTATTTAAATGGACTTGCTTTTCTCCTACACTTTGCCAAAACACATTTCAGGATGTCAAGAAGGTGGAACTGCCTTGAGAAATAGAAATGTGTCCCAATTAAGAGATTAGTGTTTACAGGTCACCAACTTTACCACTAGAACAAAATCAACAGGAAATGTGAATTAATTTTTTTTTTCTCAGCATAGACCTTATGCTCAGCTCTTTTCTTACAGCTGCTTAGCTGTGGGGTAAAGTTGCAGCACACAGTAATTGGATTCACAGTCAGATTAAAACATTTCAATTCTGAGCACTGACAGTCACAAAAAAACCCTACTGAACTGAAATAAAAGACAGGAGTAGAAAGGACAAACAGCCTCACTCCACCCTCAAAACCTGTGTGAAGCTCTATGAAACCCAACTAAAAGGATACCTAAAGTATATTTCTTTCTTTTCAGTAAGATACTTAAGTAAAGAATCACCTCAGTGTTATGGAAAAATAGGCTTAGGTGTGGACAAACTCTTCATCAAGTTGTTGACAAAGGTTGGGAAACCATTAAAACCTATTATTTTGAAAGCATTCAATGATGTATTAATATCAACATAACCCATCATACTGGAGCACCTTACATGTGTCATGACAATTACATATATAATTGTCATTATTCTGTATGTAACTGTTATAATTATTATTATACATTATCATATATATTATAATATATTAAGATATCTATTAATATAACACATATATAATATATATTATGTAACATATATAACATGTTATATAAGATATAATATAAAAAAATATATTATCCATTAATATATTATTACACATAAGACCTTCCCAGCCTTATTTCTAGAAAAATTCCTTTCCACAATAACTGACCGAAAAACCCAACAACTTTTCATCTCTTCTCTGGATACATGCTGTGTCGATTATTCAAAGATTCTAATGCTCATTTACCACGTCACAGTAAACCAAAACAGACTTTGAAAGACAGTTAAAAAGGAACTGAAAACAGGACATCTTCACAAACAAGAAAGACTTAAAAAACCTGTGTTGAAAACAAGAGGAAAGCTGAAATAAGAAAAAGGCTACAGATACCAGAAAAAGGCTACAAAAAGATAACACTTTACAAAGAAAAGATTTGCCTTTAACTTTTTTACCAGTGGAATGAACAAGCCTTGCTGAGATTGTTAGACTTCCAGAAAGTCAGACCTTTTATTTAGATAGCTGGAGATGAATTCTAGATACTTCACACATCCTTAAGAGACAACATCTTAACACAAATTTTGACAAAATCCAGATAGATACTAGCCTTTGTACTTGAAAAGGAAGACCGCCTCTTCCTCCTCCAGAATTAATGTCTTGACTTAGTGGTCTAAGGATTAGTAACAAGTACTCAGACATATGGCCTTATTTCACAATGCTCAGTCAGCTACACACCTCTTCCATCATTTCTGATATTCCTCAAAAACAAAGTTAATGACCCATCTGAAGGAAGTAGGTGAAGAAGAAAATTTCATAAACAAGAACTAAATAGTATCGGTATATTTTATTAACAGAAAACAAGCCAGTATTCTAAGACCCATTAAGAAACATCAAGCTACTTCAGCAATCAGCTACTGTAACATCCTTTAGACTTCACAAACTACACACTGAATTTATTTGGTTTGAGGTTCCCAGTTCCACTTCATTGAGGCACAAAAAGCATCTGGAATTGTAGCATCTTGACTTCAGCTGATTATTCACTTTTGCTTATTTTCTTGGCTTTTTCAAAAGCAAATAATATAAAGCAAAAATACCAATTTAATCAAATGAAAGGATAATGAGAGTAAGATTTACTACAGAATCTAAAAATGTAGACAATGTGACTCTTAGCTATGCTTCAGGTACCTGAAGGATGAGTGTTCACCGTGGACTGGCAAAGTGATGGGAGGAGCTGGAGATTGGATGTACATTGACTGCCCAGATGTCTGTGTGCCTTTCCTGATGAGCTTTCCAGTGTTAGGATCATAAATTCGAACTTCAGGACCAGGTTGAGACTTCGGATGGATAGGTGTTGGGTGAAACAGAGCAGTCTGAAATGTGCTGGGTGTATCAGGAAATGTGGCAGGGCTGTTTTCTCTGTTAGATGGAGTTCAGAAAAAAGAATTGCATTAGAAATTTAAATGAGCTATCTAACCAGAACATAAAAAATGAGCATTCCCTTTTCTTCTAAGGGGAAGAAGAGGGAAATGGTTTGGAAAATCTCTAAAGAAAAATTTCTTCTCCTCTACCTCATTAAAGTCCCACTGAATTTAAAACAGAAAACTGCAAATACAAGATAATATCATGTTTAAATTATAAAAATATTAATAAGTGTGCCTTAGAAATTGTCTAAACACAAAGTTCCTGAAATTATTTCCAGATAGTAGCAACAGCACAATTAGCAAAGCATGATAATCTGTATATATGCAACAAATATAAAAGCAGGCTATTGTATCAAGTTTTCTATTTGCTCTCCAAATTTGATCTGAGAGAAAATAAACATGTAGTATTAACTTCCAAGTCATCCTAACTAATTTTTTAAAAATACTAAACTGCTTATGATCACTCTGCTGTATTTTGAAAAACATAACTTTAGAAGTGTCAGCAGAAACATTCAGAGATCAGTCTGCAGGAATCACCATTATGGCATACTATCCAATTGTGATGAAGCACCACACAAAAAAAAAAAAAAAAAAATCAAGCAAATTGAATAATTTTAAAAAATTATCAACTAAAACAGCATGCTATGCTCCATGAAAGCAATGCTATGTTAAAAAAAGATTCAATTAATTTGTTAGAAATGATACAAAACTGAAGTTATTACCAGATGCTTTTATGGATGTTTCTGAAGTAGTCTTGTAGCATAACACAGTAAACCAATTCCAAGTTTACTTACTCTTTTCTTGCTATCTTAAGTTCATTTTACATGCAAATGTTTTCTCAGACTTCTCCCCTCCCCTAGTTTGTATGTGCTTTGGACCTGTAATCACTATTTCAAGCACCTTCATTTAAGGGAAAAATCTATTCCAAAGTAGCACGTATCAGGTTAAAGTAAAGGTATTTGCATTAAGATAGATATCTTACTGACTGAAGCTTGTGGGTTGTGGGGGAAGTATGAAGTTAAGAGGTATTGTATTTGAAACACAGAAGTAGGAAAAATTATCCTGTTTCAGTAAAGTGGAAGAGTAAATTAATAGAGGAAGAAAGACTAACATTCATCTAGACATCAAAAAAAAAAATGTTCATAAGCTACTTCCCAGGTTTCTACTGCAAATTTAGCAGTGTCAAATTAAGCATACCATGCAAATATTCCAAAGTTTGATTTAAAACCATCTGATAATACTTTTTAAATACTAAGTATCCTAGTTAAGCCATAAGCAGGCTACATGTCTTTTCTCAGTTTATAGGGATCCTGTGTCTCAACCTAGTGTCACATTTGATAAATGCCCTCACTTCCACATGTTTCTTCTTTTGGTGTTTTCAAAGCCTAACACACCATATTCTGCCCTCAAAGGGCATCTCATAAGTAGAAAGTGAATCTCTAGCACAGACAATCACACCAGCATCAGTTTAATACAGAAACCCCATTATGCTGTGCTCCTTACTGTCTAAACATGGAAGGGAAGTTTGACTCGCAAGATGTGGGTCTATCCAAACAGATAAGTCAAGAAGCAGAAGCTGGCTTGACAGTACCTTGTCATGAGCTACTTTAGTCAAGTCACTATCCCACAGGGGACTATTATTGTCGACTTCTTTATTAATAATGTTTTTTGCTGCCTCCTTTATTTACTGTCACCCTAGTGCAGTAATTATTTTTTACCTTTTCTCTTTCAGCACTTATCATACCAAAACCACCTCTCACTACTTCCTTTCTTCCAGTTTTTGCTCCTGTCTTCATGCCTTCCAATTCTTCTTAGAATTTTCTATGGAATTTTTCTGTTTATCTCTTTCTCATCACTACCAAATTTCACCAAAAAATGCCATACTTTACCAGTTCTTCATGTAGTAAAAGGATGTACATTTTTTGGCAGCATGAATGATCCCGTGCTTTGGCGTCATTCCCTATGTTAGCTTATGGATGAACTGAAAAGGGCAACTTCTCCAAATTAAAAGAGCTAACAACAATAACTGCTAAAGAAAGTATTGTTACTACAAGTTTTCTCCTGACTGTGCTACTTACTGAACTTCCTCCTGATCCCTTGACAGTCTTCAGTTTAAACAAAAGAGAAATGGACAAACCCAGGGAGTTCTTCTATAGAATCCATAAACAGCTGAACTTGCCAGAAATCAATTTATTAACAAATCAGAATAACCAGTTTTCACGGCTCCTATTCCCTCAAGGAATAGCACTTACCTGTGTGTTTTGATGTAGTCATCCTTTAAGGGAAAGAGCTGTTCCTCAACCTTGTCCCAGCGCTCTAGGCAGCTCCACAACCAGTCAGGGTTAACAACATGGAGATCCTTGCAGTCCTGAGCTTGCCGTACTTTTTCTGTGCCTATTACAGAGAGAAACACAAGTGCTCCCAGAAACACAGAAGATAAACCAGTGTATAGTTAAAACCAAGAACATGTTGTCATCAATTGTACAGAAAAAAAAAAAAAGAACCACTCCTCCCCAGTCCAACAAAACAAGCATAACTAATAAAAAGAGAGAATCTAAATAAGATGCAGTACCTCAGACTCAAGCTGGATGAAGGTAACTTTCTGAAGAACTGGCACCATGGAAGTAGCCCACTAAGATTTATGCAGAAAATTTCTGCATCTTCTCTGCATGTTAGCCCAACAAACAACACATGTGCACTTTTCTGTAACATTTCCTTCATTTGTATTTGTTAGTAGTCCGAGAAAAAGCAGCTTTTCAATGCTGTTGAAGCCTAACTTTTTGAGACATGGTTCCCTGTTCATACAGTGTGCTATCTTTTAACAGGCTGTCACCCACCCAACCTCAATCTACCAGAAGTGGAGGCAAAGCAGATAGAATTCCTTTTGTGCTGAAACAGAACAAAGACTGTGAAGTTAAACATGGCAGGCTAGCATGCAGTCCAGGTGAAACCATCAACAGTACAGCTTGCAAGTAACAGGTGATCTCAAATTCTACTCTCTGGGGATGCCAGAATGAGAGAGAAACTCAGGAAAGTTGCTATAAGTCTTCCAAAAAGCACCAAAAGCAATGCTGTGGTTTAATCCCAGCTACTCATTGATTCCTCCAACCACGCCAGCGGGATGGGAGGAGAATCAGGAAAAAAACATAAACACTAGTGAGTTAACAACAGCTAATGAAACAAAGTAAAATATAATAATACTAATAATATGAACACTTGTCTGTTTTCACACACATGAGAACAATGAAGCAATGAAGCTTCCAGAAGAAAAAAAATCAAGTTTCAGAACAATTCTGACAAGCAAGTAAGAACAGTAAATTAATTTGATTTTTTCATTAGAGTTCCCTGGAGTTTCATCTTCATGATTGTCATTTAACAGTGTGATTTTACTTGTTTTAATTTAGATGAAAATCTTGAAGTACCTATGCTTCTTCACATAATTTGAAGATGAGACAAAGCAGCTAATCTCAAATATTTAATATCCTGAACTACAATTCACTGGGATAGACAGAACTCAAATGCACTTGAAGACTGGCCTAACAGGTTAGATCAGTTTAAGACATTTGTAAGATTATGAGACTAAATGAACAGAAAGGGCAGGAGATAACTGTCCTTTACAAAAGCCTGAAAGCCTCTGTTTCCCTACCTTTTGTACTCCAAACCCAGTGGAATACAGGACTAGGGCTACATTTTTCTCTAGATACACATACATTTTTTCCTCGGACTTAGATGAACAGAAAATTTTGTGCGCACATATATATGTATTTCTTTTTTCAGCTTAAAATATGACGAGCTGCACAATTCAGGATATAAAGTTTTACTCCACACTAGTATCATTGAAAAAAAGTTAATTTAAGAACCCAAGATAAACACACACATATACAGTCCTGTCCAAACCTCTAATAATCTGGATGCCATATTTTAATTTTTGCCATGTAATAAAAATAAAACTACTATCCAACAAAGATTCAGTGGAAAAAATTTTAGAACTGCAACTGCGCTAAACCCAGCACACCTCTGCAGTTCAAGAGGTTTTAACTGGCTGAAACATAAACCTCTAATAAGGGAGGTCAATGTACTCCATGAAATCATACATGTCCTGATTTAAGAAATCTGTTTTCCAATTAATTATCAGTTACAAAAGCAACTGAGAGGAGTTTACTGCAACAGTTGCTGGAAATGAGCCAGTTTACAGTGCCAGAAGGAGCTTTGACTGGAGATATTAATATTTAATTAACCTCAATAGGAATTGTAGAAATACCTGCAGTTAGAAATAGTATTTAATTTATAAAGAATAAATAAAGCAAAGGTTCTGAAAGAGAATCAGTATAAGGGATCTGGGATAAAAAGGATTGAAGTTTAAGGCTTAGCTTGGACATTGCTTTCTTTTGAGAATAAAGGAGAAAGGGAATTACAACATTGGAAAAGCAAATCAATAAGACAACAGGTGTTATAAAAAGGATGCTAAAATCAAGTTCATTAGCATAAGAGTTTCAGAGCAAAAAAAGGCAACAAGAGCAAGAAGTCTGGTAGAACTTGTGCCTGGTATTAGATACTGAATCAAATATCAGACACAGCTGGCAATACTGTCCTGCACATAACAGCTCTGGAGCTGACTGAATACTACACACAATATCAGTGGTTTCACTAGTAAGCACACACAACAGTTAACCAGAGCCAGTGATGCTGTTGGATAGATGGGACTGTGCTGCTCCTTTTAGACTTCATCAGGGGAAACACGGACTTGATGGCTTTCTCCAACTGTTTTTCAAACCCACGTTTCTGCACTGATGTCAGGTGTTTCATCTTGCTGCCCCTTCCTCCCCACCCCCACATTCTGCATTCACACATATCCGATTGTTTCTGATGTACGCTGAGGAGCTATGCAAATTCTTCTAGTTGACAGGATTGTGACAGAAAACTTGAATGTGAAAGCCAAAATAGCACAATCTTGTATGAAATTGCTACTGGAACTAGACGCTTTTTAAGGTCCCTAACAACCTAGATGTTCTAGGATTCTGTAAAAGCTGGTGACACAGATTGTGTGTAACCAAACCCACCTCCCAAGAGTCAAAAGTCACCTTTCTCACCTCCACAATATCAAGGCTTTCTGCCTCCTTCCCGTTTCTAAAGTGCAGTGGCCTATTACACGCTTCAGCATACTGGAAACAACATGAGGCAACACAGGCGTGTCCTCTTGGGGAGGGCTTCCTATTTCTAGCTGACATCTTCACAAACCAAGATTTTGCATGTTAATTAAAGCAGCATTTGGTGAAACACCAGATTTAACTGGGAGGAGAAACAGCACTGTGATGTTTGCTGTCTCCTATCTCTTTCCCCAGTGTAACTTCTCCTTTTCGAATTACACTTATTAAGACAAAATAGCAAAAAGATTTTCATCCAAGCAACAGTACTTCTGATGCAACTAAAAACATCTGAATTACGCAGCTGAGCTGAAAATCACTTAGAGAAAAACTGATTTTCCAGACTACTTTTTTGCATTATTGTCATCTAATCGCCTTTCCCTACTTCAAATTCTAAAGTTGTTCCAAAAAATTTAAAAGGCACAGAAGATTTTCCACATGAAGCAACTGGGGGCCAAATTTATCACATCTACTCTCTGATGGGTACAGTCTGAAGCAGATAGTATCGGAAAATATTATTTTCAAAGCTGGGGAAGGTGCTCATCAATTCTACTTCTGAACTTGTTAAAAACAGTGCTCAGCTGACTTTGGCCTCTGATTCAATCTCTCCCATGCAGAACTCAGTGTGAGTGCTCAAGGCTGTGTCAGGACTAACCAGAGCACACAATGGGGAGAGATCACCAGCAGCACTTGCAGAACTTTCTCCTGATTCCAACACACCAAAATCAACATATCCTTGTGGCAGTTTGCAACCAGGCTGCCAGAAAGTGCTTGGAAAACCTGATCGCTAATTTCTCCTCGGATATTTATTTTATATAGTTCTTGATTTGTAATCAAATCCTCTTCTCCAAGAACACTGACCTAAGAAAAGTGACAGATGTGCTGTTCTGAAGCTATTCCTAAAGTTCAGGTTTAATTCTGCACTGTAAAACCAACAGGCTTACTTGTTCAGTGGCCAAGTTTAGAGCAATGCTTAACCTGATTTTTTTTAAAAGACACAGCCCTTGAACATATTTTTCAGGAAAAAAAGCTGTTGACACATTACAGGTGTAGGAAATGGCATGGACTCAAATATCTTTTGAAAAATAAAAGAAAAATTCATGGCCTAAACTGATCTATTTCCATTCATACCACACTACAATAATTTTTGAGAGATCTGAACAGTTCTATCTGTTCCACCAGTAAAAATTCAATACAAGAATCAACTACACTGTCATTCATCTGTTCAGGAAGGAACATAACAAGGTTTATGAAACAGTGCAATAACTGCTTAGCCAAGTGTGTACACAGCTATAAAAACTCATCCTACAGTGCAGTTTACTGATGCTTAAAGCAAACAGCAGATGTTTCAAAGCCTGAAGCAAGATTTATGCAGCCCATAGACAAGTGGGAAGGACTATAGGATAACCTTTTCTCAGTCACTCTGTTTTATAAAAATTGATTAGATGATGCAAAGATCCTGCATTTTACAGTAAATCAGGCAGACAGTATTTTCTGCCCTATGTAATGAAAAGTCCTATTTTTTTTCCAAGAACAAGAATTTATTAATTTCAGAATTCAGCGTACCTGTGCCTACAGGGAAACAAATGGCCTATCTGCAGAGAAAGAGACAAGTATATATCAAGATAAAAAATTTAAATTATTTACTCTAATAAGCTGGGAAGAATACTGTAAAAACAACCTAAAATGTTTTTCAGTAGCTGTTCATTTCAATGCACCAAGCTATGATGAGACCATTTTGCAGGGGAAACCCCATCACTTCAAGACCTAAGGGGTAACTCTGTTTCACACTGACTTCTTCCTTTTACTTCCTCTGCTAAATTCTTCCTTTGTGTTCAAAATGGGAAAGCTAATAGTATTTACCCCCAAACACTGCTGCAGATTAAGTATGTGCCCTTACATCTCAGCTAGTGCAAAGTATACATACACATTCAGCTGCTTGTCAGAGTCCCAAGTCTGCCACTGTTAGTGGTGCCACCCAGAAAGACTGAACTAAAAGTTATTTTAGAATCACTTTTCACAAACACGTTAAAAAAGAAAAAAAGATAAAAGTATAGATAACAATGTTGTCTGGGCTCACATCATTGACTTCTGAAAAAACTCAAGAAGGGACATGCTTTTGTTTCCCCTTTTCACCAGCAATTAGACATCAAGCAGTGCATCAGACGTTTGCCACGAGAGCCAAAGTTGCAGTATTTGTATGGCTTACTGTCAGCAAGAGGCTTTGCTCTCTAACCATAAAAGAATCACTATGAAAATCACATTGACAGATGAATTATCACAAATTCAGTTGTGACAGGACAAAATTTATAACTCTAAAGTTTCTGATTAACAAATTCCCTTCAGAAAATTAAAACGATGCAGCCTAACTACTCCCACCTTCCAGGAGAGAATAATAGTCTCCAGCTGAAAAAAAAGCAAAATCACATCACAAAACCAGAACCAGCCAATCCACAAGGATCTTACAAAGGGTTACTGGAGAACACTATTTTATTCCCTCTAAATCCCACTATTTCATTACCATTGTTACTGAAATAATTATTAAGTGATGATGGAAGATGACAGGAGTATTGCTCATTAGGCAGAAATGACTGCCAATTTACATTGGCTAGAATCAGCACAAAATGCAATTTAATAAAAAAAAAAGTTAAAAGTTTTTCATATTCAGATGTACAATTCACTAAGAATGTGCAGGTGGCAAATAATTTATTTATAAAAACAGAACACAAGGATGCATAGATGAATCTAGACAAACACACAACCCTCAAATGGTTCATTCAAAAAAAACCAAATAAAAGGTCAGTTGCTTCCCATTATCATATGATGTGCACCTTAATGGATTTTTTTCAATACTTTTCACTCTAGAGAAATGTGCATGCTTGGGAGTGTCCCATCTACATTTATCCTATCAATTTTACCCTATCACACAATAGTTGCATCTGATGTATAACTACATTCAGAAGTCATCTAGTTTAAGATAAACAAAGCAACTTTAAAATGAAACATTTTAAAATTTGAAATTGGAAAATCATCTCTTATACTGATAGCTATTATTTCTCCAATGAAGTATGGCAAACTTGCATAACTCCTCGCTGAAATAATTATTCCTATTTATGAAGTTTTAAAACAGCTATTCAGCAACAGTAGTAAAACAATGGAGTTCCAAACTGATGCATCCATTGATTTCAAAACTTCACATTCACTGTTGCAATTATCACATCTTTACAACCTAGAATCCCAGCTAATTTCAATGCATCTAATTCCATCTCCTGAGTTTTAGGTTGTTTCTACTACTGATTTATCCGTCTCCATTTATCATATGTTTGTACTACTTAAATGCCTCTTGACATACAGACTTTTGAGGAAAGTATCCTCTCCTTAAAATACAAGCCAATGAAATCAAGCTGCTTCTGAAGTACTAAAACCCCACATGAATAGCACCCCAAAAAAAATCCAGTAGGTGGCAGATAATGTATTTATTTGCTTATGATATGTGTGTCCTAAAAGTACCTGTAAGTTTTAGATTATTTAAAACATGCAGTTTTACTTTTGGATTTCATTGATTTGACTATCAGATTCCATGTAATTTTGAAAGGCCAGCAATGAGGGAACCAAGTCTCAGGTTGCACCCATAAAAACCAGTGTGTTAGAAGCTAGAGCTGCTGACTGGTAGCTCCTCTATGGCAGCTACCAGTGGTACATTGTTATCCATTACAGCTATGAAAAAACAGGCAGCTTTGTCAGACTACCTAAAAGTTATGCTAAACTCTTACATTTCCTCTGACAAAACAATATAGGTTAAGCACAGCACAGTGACAGGGTATTAGCAGTCTCCTAAAATAATGTTTGAATTCCATACCAAGTGAAACTGAACCATGAGAGGTTAACCTGAGATACTGAGAAAAAGAGCACTGCTATACCTTTGTAGCAAGATGATTGTAAACTTTTCTTTGACACAAATATTAAAAGTTTCTATTCAACAGCTCTGAGTCTTTGACTATTAGTATTGCCAATTCTTAACAAAAAACTGAGACATGACAGATTGCATCAGAGAGTATTTTGTGGGTCCTACTTTTAACAATTAAAAGTCACATTTGAGCAAAAAAGAAGATAAAGATCCTTTTTAAAAGGCTGCTAAGTTGTTTTAGGAAGAATCTTTCCTTTGATTTTGATTATAATCTCAGTTACATTAAATTCAGTTACATTTGTATAATCTACAAAAGAGCTCAAGGCATGAACTCTAACAGAGCAAAAGGTGCTCAAATACGTACCTGTCCTTGCTGCAATTAGATGTGTTGCTTTATCAGGATCATCAGCACTAAGTACGAGATTCTTCACAATTTTAGCTCCAAGTGCTGTGGCATGATAGTGTTCCCGTGTCTTTTCAATAGGGAAGTTTGTTGGGTAGAGTCCGCTAAATATTATGGTTACATCTGCCAAGACTTTACTTTTTAGTTCTGGTACTATTTTTCTGATGTCTGGAATTTCCTCAATCTCTTTTTTCAGGTATTTATCATACTTTGTGTAATAATCAGTGTGAACTCGCACAAGGATTTCCTCAAGGTATATTAAATGGTCATCGTCATCTGTATCATCTTCTTCCTCTTCCTCCTCCATGCTCTGATCTAAGGACTCACCCATTGTAATTCCAGACTGTTCACTAATCTGAGATTCTGTTTCAGCTTCTTTCTTGTCTCCAGACCCATTTCCTAAATCACAAAGGCTTTCCTGTTCACTTTCCTCTTGTGCTTCATGATCAATTTTTTCCTGGATATTTTCACTAGGTAAAGACTGTGTGTCCCCAGAACGGTTCACCAGCCCAAACTTTTTCTCACTCGTATCAGTACAACTCTCTTGCTGCAAATTTTCATCCTGCAGAGGTTGTTTGGATTTCTTCCAACTTCTCTTTTCCTCATTCTCACTATCTGATACAGAAGTGGATGACTTTTTGCTATCCAATCCGTCATCACTTTCACTGTCACTAGATAGTTCAAAGTCCAAATCATTTATCTTCTCTTGGGTTTGCTGCTTCTCTGTAACTGTTGTATCAATTTGTTCTGAAAAAATCTGACATTCTTTTGTGTTTGTCAAATCATCAGTGACCTTGCCGTCCATTCTGTGACCAATGCTATCATTTAAGGAGTCCTGGGCATTAACTTTATTATGAGAGTTCACATCCCCATCAGATGTTTCACTGCTTACAGGAGTACTCCCATTTGCAATGCAAGTGTCCTTTGCAGTTTTCTTGAGACCATTACTGTGTTCTTCTGCACATATAACATTCTGTATTTCTTCAACATCTTTTGCTGAAATCACTGCTGAATCCAATGCTTCGGGTTTTGTAGAGTGGCTTGCTAAGACATGAGCAAGAAAAAAAACAGATACATATTTTCCCTTTTTTTCTTCTTTTCAGATTAACCAAAATTTAATTTTCATTAACCTTAAATACAGAGTTTACATATGGAGTTGGATTTAATTATGCTTGGAAGTGATCACTAGGCTTTTCAAAGTTGTTAAAATTCTCTAGGTGTCAATGGTTACTAGAAAGGACTCTCAAACATAACAAACATTACTTTTGTAAAGAAGTTACATAAGCAGCTTTTTTTCTTTAAATCACAGGTCATAAGTAATTATTTGTTAACTCTGCAAGCATTAAAGGGTCTATCTTGTAGTGTAAGTTTTATGATTACAACTTAGAGCAATGAAAATAAACAAATGGGGGACAGGTGGGCAGAATTTGCTTTATAAAGTCCTAATCCAGAACAACAGTACAAGAACTTTATAAACAGCCATGTCTTTCATATTACCTAGTTTTCGTAACAAAATAACTGAACTTTTGTCCTTGAAAAGACATATGTATTTTAGCAACACTAAGATGCTAATCATACAATTTAAGACTGATGGAATGCAAGTTAAAGTGTAATAGAATTAAAAGTAGAATAGTTTTGGGATGTGTCTGCAGATGTCTGCAGAAGTAGAGAGATAATTAAAGAAACTGCAGACTTCCAAAAGGTTGCACACAAGCGTTCACTGGAAACACTGTGTGAAATCACACTACTTTGTCTCCCTTTGTGTGCATGTTCCTGTCCTGTAAGGACAGGAGTCAATTGTAGAGGTCCTACACCACAGTGATCTGATTCAAGTCAATCATACTATTTCTATTGTTGTATTGGACACTTCTATTTCAAAAGGGAAAGAGAGTAATGTCACAGGTATTAAATTAAAAAAAAAACCCAAACCCTTGGCTAAACTGGAAAAAGCCCAACAATTCTTTCTTATGAAATTGTGTTTCAAATACATTTTGCCCTCAAATAATTACTGATTTAGTCATGTGTACTTTCCAAATCCATTATGTGTATTACACTGCTGAGCTTGAACATAGGGTTCTCTTGTGTCAAATGCCGGAATACCATGTGCAGTAGGTGCTAAAAATTCACACTAATTTTATTAGCACAATTTAGACTGGGAGGCAAGCAGATTTCAACATTCATTTCCAGCAGTGTGTTGAGACCAGAGTTTATTACCTATTCCTCCAAGTCCCAAGGGCAAGGAAGGGGACTGAAGAGGTGAAACATAGAGAAGAAAAAGTCAGCATGTTTTACATGGGGGCATGAGGGAGAAACTGTCACCCTCTACACATTCTTGAAGAGTTTGATATATTGCCAAATCAGCTCTCAGCCACATCACATATTACTGCTTCACTTCTGCTCTGGTTGATGCCAAAAGGAGTGCTCCCTGTTAGAACAGTCTAGTTTTACTAAGCTACTCACATTTGTGCTGCCAACTTCAATAATTTGTGATTGCCCATCTGAGCACTGCTGCACTATTACTAAGACCATCTCAATGACTTATATCAATCATGTTTGAAAAGTGGACAAAGTTATAAACGTGGTTTAAAAACAATCTAATTACCTTTCTTCTTCATTTGCATTTCTCTTGATCCAGGAGGTGCATTAATATCTCCTATCCCCTGAAAGTATACATATTTCTTCACAGTTATCAAATTGGGTGCAAACTTCCAAACATCCTCTCTATCATCAATGATGCAGACCATGGAATCTCCGCAAGGAAAAAGATCTCTAAGGTACAAAATAGTTGATAAATTAAAACAGTTTTCGGAATTTATGTAGCAATGAAAGCAATTTCTATTGATGCCCTGGGTTATTATGCCAGGGTATATTTATAAAGCCAGCAATATTAAAATTACGGATAAAAAGGAAACAGCTCTTTTAAAATCTGTGTCCCAAAGGCTAAAAGCAGAAAACAAGAAACCTCCATATGAACAAATGATTACAACATTTCAGTCTGGTTTTCACTGGTTTTTGTTAACCAATAGCTCAAAGTCAACTATCACAAGGTCAATACACTACCTATATATAGACAAGTAAAAGACACAAGAATAGTTTTTAAAGAGTAGATTCATTCAATCCAATGAATTGGATTGAAACAGAAGTGCTAATATCACCCATCACCTAGGTGGAAAAGGAGGTAGAGTACTTAAGATGCATATAAAAAACAGAGCAAGAAAAGAAAAAAAGCTTTTTATTTGGTACAATCAGGTGTGGAGGGGCAATAACTTTAAATATTTCATAAAGCTGCATTAAACGTATCTATCTTAGAAAAAATCTTGTCTTTATACTCTGGAGAAGATCAGAATGTGAATTTAGACTAGAATATAAATTCAAGGCTCTAGATAACCTGATTTCAAGAAACATTGGGAAAAGAAGGTGCTTTTAGCACATTTGAAAGCCAGAATAATTGGTTTTCAATTATGAATTAAACTCACACTTAGAATTTTGGTTTAATTAAAACACTCACAACATAAAAGTCATTACACAAGATCACAAGACAAGGTGAAAATATGGTTGTTATTACAAGATTAAGAAGTGTAAGTGAAAACATGATGCCATGGCATCACACTCTTACTGTTCTGCTACCACAAAACCCATCAAGTAGAGGAAATGCTGCAATGCCCAACACCTCAGTTTTACTGAGGTGGTGTAGGTATTTAAGAGGCAGATAAAGAAGGATATAAACACATTAAGTGCAGAGGGAGTAATTTTTGTTATCTTCTCTGTTTGTTGTCGTGGTTTGTATAATGCCTAAGACCCATATACATACCTAAGGTTCCCAGTTTTAGAAAATGGATCAATACATTCATCCCTTGACAATATCCGATGGGAAAAAAGCTTCTTTTCAGGGTCCAAAAATCCTTTTGGAAGAAGAAATTAAAAAGTTAATGTTCAAGATGTTTGTTCCTTATTTATATTTTATACACTTCTGCTATTTTAATTTGTGCAACAGCAATTTTAAGGCATGAGAACAGATGAGAGAAAGTATAGTGGATCAGGTATTTGTAGCTAATTCAGTGAGATTAATTTTAAAAATCTGACCTAATTTTCTTTCAAGATGGCAAGAAAACTGAATTTGTGATAACCAAATAAATAAGGCTGAAAGAGAGACAGTAGGTGATAGACACATGATTTTTGCAACTTACATTTATCTCTCTATAGTTGGTTCTTTAAAGCTAAATGCTCTCCTGAGCTCATTATGCCTAGGGACTGCAGAGAAGTCTCACAAGAGTTGGCAATGTGCTGCAATATTTAAGCACAGTACGAAGTTAAGAGACTGTTCCAGCCAGAGCTCTTGCATTTGTAGGTTTTAAGTTGTACCTCTAACAACTATTTCAATACATTTACATATAATGAATATGTCCTGGGACTCTAGAAATATTTAGGCCCAGTTGTAGTAAGTTTTCTGACTGCACTTTTCAAAAAAACTAACAAAGAAACAAAAAAAAATCCCCAAAACCAAAAACAGAAGTTGTACTAGCTGATCTTAAAGCAAGATAAAGCGCTATTATTTAGGAAAATGATGACTCGGGTGTACAAACACACATGCACGTGCTTCTGAACCTAATCTCCAGTAATGAAGTTCACCTTCATGAGCAGAATGCAGCCACGTAATTGCTTAGCAAGAAACTGGAATATTACATGCTAACCTGTATCTTTTGCTTTACTGAATTTGTACTGAAACTAATATTAACTTCTCATTAATCTTATGACTATTACAAGGCAGTCAATACTTATATGGGAACCATCTTTTCAAGATTTATTGTCTTTTACTTTAAATGATGGCCGTATTAAAACCAGAAAGAGAATTCAAAATGACTACAGACTTTATGGACCAACTTTAATTTTCTTTCAAGGAGCTCAGATTTGCACAGAATATATGCTCAAGACCTTTTAACAGTCTAGCTCCCGAGAGTACCTTAAGTTGGGACTTCAAAAACAAAGTTTAAAAAAGACCTAAAAATCAGTCATCACTTCTGAAAATTGATCCTGCATGTAATTAATATTGATGTGTAATTGGAATAACTTAAAACCCATAAAAGCAAGAAAATTCTGAGTTAAGGACAGAGATTCAACCTTAACTCACCCGACTATGCTTAAGAATTGATGCAAACTCGTAGAATCATCCCCTGTAGTGATACCCTTGCAGTACCTAGGCATAATGAATTGAGAGAATTAGCTATAAAGATTTATTGCTGTACACACGTATACTTTGACAAACTACAAAAGCTGTCACACAAGTTGCTGTTCTCCCCAACAAAATTCTCTTCTGCTAATTGAATACACAGGAACTCTCTACACTGAATTAGACAGAAGTGCACTGATACATGGCAAAACTTCACTGAAGCACTCAGCAGCAATGCTGCCGAGCTAAAACTGTAAGAAAAATGAAGCTGAACTAAAAACGTCCAAATGCAGAAAGCCTGGCTGCCAGAGATTAGTGATAAGGTAGCATTCCAAAGCTTCACAGTAATGCTTTATCACTAAACTAAAAGTACACTGAGGACAGAGCTCATCAGAGATCCATCTGCAAAGACACAAGCCCACCTTAGGAGAGTCCAAGGTTAAGCTACCTGAGTAACAACACAGAAAACAGCACTGGTCTCTTTTAAAAAAGTTCTCTCCAGGTTAAACTGGTTTCTTTTAGATGTTCCCTAGTCAACTAAGTCAACATAACAAACAATTTCATGTTTTCACATTTCAGGGAAAAGGCAGGTAACATTTCATTAATTTCATCATTTGTTTTCTTCAACACACCAGGCACCCACCAAAGTCACTCTCTCACTCTCCTCTGAAGCTGGACAGGGGAGAGAAAATACAATGATGGGTTCATGAGATCAAGATAGACTGGGACAAACTAAGCTTCCACTTAGTCTCATTCTCATAAATTAGACACTGTGCTAGGTATGCCCCTAAGTTTCTTGAACAAACTGAAGACACTGTAATTACCCTTCACCACACTAGGAGGGACTATCCAGTAGACTCACCTAGCAGAGACTATTGCCCCAGTTGTTTGCTTCCTACCTCAGACTGACTCTTTGCACATAGACTTACCAAAATGTACTGCCTGCTCTTAGATAGACTCTCTTAAAAACGAAACTTCATAAGTAAGTAAAAACTAAGTTAAAACCATCAGAAGATACAATGTTGAAAACTGACTCATATTAGGGATGTCTCAAATCTTAAAGCCTGAGTTAAATAGCAGTTCCCAGGAGAAGTTATACAACAGTTGGAACCAACAAGAATTTGAATAAGTCCTTTTATAAATAAAACTAAAACTGAATTTCTGAAGAATCAGGTTACCTTCAGTTCTACTTGAGATTCTACTTTACAACCTGGAAAGAGCTGTTGACCCAATCTTTCAAAAGCTAGGACAACTTCAGACACTGGTTATTATACATACACACTGTATACATTCTGCAATATATTTGCTGTAACAAATCATACATATGAATACCCTCAACTTGGTCATACTTTCTAAATTTCATTGTAAATTTGGAGTGATTTCACACTGCTTTACTCTTAATAGCTTCTGAGGTCAAAATTCTCTGTGGCATTTTACAACCAGCTTTTAAGCTGACATCTGTTTTAAATATACAACTTCTCTTATAGAGAGTAGAAAAAGAAATACTCCAGGGAGCTCTAGATAATAAAATCCGAAGCTCATCTTCATAAGCATACCACCAGATATCATTTTTTAAATGTCAAACTAAAAAAGGGTTTAGGATAAATTATTTTTTCATAAATATGAATGGTGTTTACAAATATCAGCTAGTCCCACTTAACAGCTTGCACCAGTCATCTGAGATGAAAGAAAAGGACTGACAAGATGTCATCTCTTTTCAAAAGCCTTCTAGGACATGAAAGGAGCAGCTCAGAGTCCAGAAGTCACAAAGATATATAGGATGACTACAGGGGACCTAAGCAAACAACCTTTTTCTCCTAAAAAAGATCCCCAGCATGCATTACAAGTTCTTTTTTATGTAACATAGGGATAACAAAGTATCAAACTGACAGCTCTGTGAGAAACCATTTAACCAATACTGCCATCAAGTGCTCTCTACATGTATCAGCCACGTATTTCTCTAGCATTGCGTTTTGGCTGCACAGGTGGACTAAAAGCTGCATCCAGTGCTTGTCCACAGACCTTCAGCTGAAAGGATGACCAGCACTGCACAAATAACCCGCTTGCAGTTTGAATGCTTTTGATGAGATTAAACAGGTTTGGGCAGAAATCTGTAAGTCTGTTGGTGACAGGAAGCAGCAATACCCTAATTTGGTGGCTATTCCCACTATGGAATAAAAGGGGTAGCTTGAGCATGATGACCTCAGTGTCAGCCTATGGCAGCACAGGGACTGCAGGGTAATTCACACTGGGGCTCAGAGACTAAAATGGGCAGGAGGTCAAATCACACATTGAGAGAAGACAGGGAAAGCACTCAGACATCATGAGTTAACTACCTCTGCAACTCCTCCCTGGCTCTGAAGGCCATTTGCTATACAGCTTCCGACCTTAGGCCAGATCATGGCACACAGACCCAGGTGAGGAAGACTGCCCCGTCACTTTTTTACTACCATATACTGAAACCTAGTGCATAAGAAAACTATTCCTTTTTGCCACAGAAGAATGCATTCCAAGGACAGAAAGGCACAGATTTGTTCATGCATTGGCAGTACACAATAGAAATCTTTCACTTGGATTGACAGGACAGGACATGCCTTAAACCTTTCAAGGAGTGTTAACTGGAGACCACAAATGAACATCACATTCTGATTACAGAAATATTGTATGTTGTCATTCAGAAGTCTCTTATAATTGTCATTACAAGCCTCTTCTATGGCATTTAACATGCATAAAGAACTGGTTTGTTTTGGGGTTTTTTTCCCCCTAAAGTGTTTTAGAGCTCACTAGGACAGCTAGCTCTCTAACTATTTTGGAATCTCCCTTTCATGCCAAGAAGTGGGATTACTGGGACATTGTTGTTCGAGACACTCCTGGCAATACTACAGAAAAAAAGCAAATGTGAAAGACAATTTTAAAAAAAGCTAGGAGACATGGAACAGCAGTATGGATAGTTTGACAGTCATAAACTAAATTATTATTAATTATATTATCTTAGACCAACAGACTTGATAAAGGGAAGTTTGAGGAGAAAATGTTCTTCTGACAGAGGAGACTAAAAGTGGCTTTTACCCCGTCTTGACAGTTTAAAAACATGGTGTCCCTCCTAACATGATTCAGACTTATACACTCAAATAACCAGGGCAGGTTTCTTTTATACTTCTTGGCGAAAAGAAAACATTTCAGCCAGTGACACACACAATAGACTACTACCATTATAATTCAAATACAAGTTTTTGCTTGGAGAAAATATTTTTAAATTCTTGAGAAAAATACGTGAAAATATTGCTAGATTTCTGTTTTTCATTATATAAGTGTATCTCAGCTCCAGGAAGCGAACAGAGCTGCTGTAAATAGATTTGTAGCACCAGAGCTTCCTTTGGCAAAAGGAAACCATATGGGGGCAGCATTCCTCACAAGATGAAATGATGTCACACTGTTGAATTTTACAGAATGGTTACAATAGATCTGTAAGACAACTGAAGTTGCAGATCATTGTTAGGGTCCATCAACATAATTTCTTACCTAATAAGAAGGCACTAGTTAATCTGATTCTCTAATCAGCAAAACAAAGCAGATTTGATAGGGAAAAAAAAGGGATTATTTCTAAAATGACAGGCCATACAGGCACTGCCTTGTAAACAAGCTGAGAATTCTACCCACAGGACTATTTAGGACGTGGCTTTGCACAAAACAAAAAACAAATACTTGAAAACAACTGCATAAAGATTATTAATTATATGAGTATGAAGGCAGGGTAGATAAATATTGTTAAATGTAACATACTACTCACCTGCAATTGTATGTGCATACAGTCTGCTGCCAAAAGTAAAAACATGTAATTCATAGAGCTTGGCAATTTTTTCCAGGAATTCCTTACAATGAGGACGCAAACGTGTGTGCAACATAGGCTCACCTCGACCTAACTGGAAATGAAATATTCCCTAGAAGAAAACCATGTTGAATGTTATCAAAATAGCAAACAAAAATGTCAGCATTCCAGAGCTAACCTCTTCCCTCACTTCAACTTTATTTGGTCCTATTAGATCAAAGCAAGCTTTAGCCACAAGATTATGTGGATGAATAAAATCCAAAGCATATTTTTGCTCTGTGCCATGCAGTTCAACAATAAGGCTTTAAAATGCAGGAAGCTGTACTGTTGAAAAATTTATGACACAGGTGTCTTTCTTTCAAACCTTTACTTATGGGAAACCTATACGAGAAACTTCTCAATGTGCTTGTTTCAGAGATGTTCAGCATCTCACTACAATCAATACTTCACTTTGAACTTCTGACAGATTCATTTCAATATGCACTGAGCTCAAAGAAAGTATTTTCTCCATCCAACAAAGTCTGTCTTATGGAAACATAGCATCAGAGAGCAAACCAGGAAGGAAGCTTACAGATAAAGATGCTACTTAAAAACCTCACAGTATTTTAGAACTTATTTTTCTTTAAACCGTGAATTTATACTAATAGAGGCATAACCTTTCAGACAGGCAAGATTTTTTAATCCTTAAGTTGAATATTCATGGTTCCCTTTCCTCTTTATTGCAATGTACATTTCTAGTTTTCTTTTTCCTAGCAATTGTGAACATATGCTAAGACTGCTGGACATGCAAAAATAGGAAGATGAAAGAAAAGAACTAAGAAATCACAGTTTGCATGATATTTATGTTGGAGTTTACATTCTCTTGTTCTAGACACTGTACACATTTCAGCCTGTTTCTTGTTTTAGAGCTTCCAAATTAGAAATGGTACAAGACAATAGCACTTGTCAGTTCACTAACAAGTATTTCATGAAGAAATTAAACCACAACACACAACCTCTCCCCTCCTCACTCCCCCCAAAAAATATTAAAAAAAAAATCCCTACACATACTCATAAAGTGACAGACATAGGAACATACAGGATTGCTCAAAAAGGGACTTTGAACAGTAATCCACTGTATCTGCCTCAGACTTGGTAGTCACATTACTGAGTACTCACCTTGTGAATTGCAGAGGAAGGAAAGTAGAGATTAAACATAGCTACTTGAAATATCTCTCAAAATGATTAAAAAGGAAAAGTGCAGAAAAGCATGAATGGAAGAAAGACAAATGTCCATTTAGATGTAGAAAAAAAGGAATATATTATAGAAGACTTGATTCTCAATTTCTTCTTCAACTATAATTTTACCTAACCAGAGAACATTCTGTTAAAGAACTATAATTTAAATGTTGTTCGAAACATTCCTATTGTTATATTGGATTGAAAGGTAACCCCAAATACCTTATTGGACATTTGCTGGCAGTGCTGTTCTGTAGTATGGATCAATGTCTGGTCCAAATCTACCATAAGCACCAGTTTTCTATTTCGATGTAGTCGCTGTTGATCTTCTCTTCCCAGCTGCTCAGCTTGCTGTAACAGAAATATTCACTGCTACCCTTAGCTTAATAGAAATAAATTAGGTTTATTGCCCTTTGTATACTGCACACATCAGAATCCCTTCTGCTACAAACTAACTGCACAAAAAATGATGTCTCAACATAACTGTTGCAATGGCAGCTGTGGAAGAATTTTTTACAGAAAACAAAATGTTTTCAAAGTCTACTCTCAGATCTTTGTGATGTTATTAGCTCTTAAAATTCAAAAACTCAACACAAAACTTTCAAATGTAACAAATAAGTAACCACTGATTTAAGGCCCAGTGTCCCGACAGGAAATAGCAGTAGCTTTGAACACAAAGTAAAATTCATCAGTAGGTGTGAGAACATTTCATCGCTATGTCCAGAAATTTTACATTATTAAGTACAATATGTCTGAAAACCCTACATTAAGTAGAAATCTGAAGCTGCTGGTGACCAAAATGATACCTGTGAACTTCAAATTACAGAATGTATGCCTTCAGACATAAACAGCTACGATTATGCCACACAGGCACTAACATTAAGACCTTATAATCCAGTAAATATTTACTCCTCCTGCACATATTTAGAAACTTTCCAAGTACCACATGAAGTTCTGTGTTCACCTGATTGACTTCTCATAGCAAGTTGCAGTTCAGCCCTCAAGAGAGCTGAACTTAAAAGTAAAGTCAGAGCACTACAAAGCAGCAAGGATCAAGTGCAAACTGCCCTTTGAAACACTCCTCTATGATGGGGACACCTCTAGCTGGTTACATCTTCTCAATTCCCCTCACTGATGTTCTTTGGCGAATTACCAGAAAAAAGAAATCAAGCAGTAACATAAAAAAAGTATAAAGAGAGCAGGTTGATAAAGAATATAAACAGAATGTTCATCTTCAAAATAAACATGCTCCTTTCCCCCTACACAAACTGAAGGATAAAGAAGCATATTTTGATAACTCAGATGGAACTATTAATGAACTCAGAATACTTGGAGTATTTGAAAAATAATTAAATAATTTTACCATCCAAAGGTGAAAGTTAAAGCTAGGCTTCAGAGACACTGCAAGCTTTGAACAGATGTCAGCTAATGGAACTTTTCACTAACTGTTCACTCTTGGTGACAAAAATGTTCAACTATTAAGTTTACAGGCTGTTGTCAAATTGACATCTTTGCAGCACACAGCTCTAAAAACCACCAGTATAAACCATGAGAAAAATCAATCTGCATGAAGATAAACTTACAAAACCCTGGGGCCACTAATGTACAATCCCAAATTCTTCTTCAAAGGGATGCCAAACTTCCTGTATCAAGTACATACAACATTTACAAAACTACTGTAATTAAGTTTCTCAACTGTGGAGATACTACGAAAGGTGTGAACATGCATCATGGTACTTACCTCAGAGCTAACTTTCAGTTCTGGGACACTGTGAACCATTGATACAGTTGCTGTGGATAATGGCACGCTCTGTTTCCCATACTTGCTTCGTATCCTAATCACACAGAGAAAAGAAGCATCACATGAGAAATGTTAAACAGACTAAAGTCTGTAGCCTCGAACTACTCACCACCAAAAAAATGATTAAAAAGAGCTATTTTAACTAGCACACTCTTTCAAATTCTTGCTAATGCAAGCTACTAGACAAAATTAATTCAGATCAAAGAAGTTAATCAGAAAAAACTGGGCAAAAAGTCACCATAGTAAGTTATACTTCCATAGAATTGTTTTGTAACACATGAAACCAAGATGAAACACATCTATGTATTGATTTGCACCAAAAAACAAGCTATAAACTAGGGAAAACTACCAAACCACTCAAAATTACTCAGTTTTTTTTTTGTTTGTTTTTTGGTTTTTTTTGTTTTTTTTTTTTTTTTTTTTTTTTTTTTTTTTTTTTTTTTTTTTTTTTTTTGCAATTACCTACTTCTTTTCCAAGCAGAGTATGAAAAATATAAGCAAAGCATATGCAAAGTTATTCTCTGCACACAGTGTGATTTATGGGTGACTGCTGCTTCAAAAATAGCATTGAAAAAAAATTACTTGTGCATATACAGATATCAACGCACAATAGGTGTCACCCTTGTGTGCATACATAACTGTGAGACAGAGTGTGTGTGACTGCACACGAGTACAAAATTGCTAGAAAACTGAGCAAATAACCCTGTATAGGATCCCTTTCACTAGCTTACATCAACCAATTTATTGGAAATTCTGACATCTCACTGATGATGCAACAATATTAAAAAAACTTTCCATACAAATTTTGTCCTAGGTGACATATGCATACCTTTTAATTCTCTCATGTACCAGTCCCATCAAGGACAAGATCTGGTATCACATCTACAACAAGAGTTAAACCAGATTTCACTTTGTGACAAGCAAACTGCTGAGGATCAACTGTACTGAGCTGAGGCTGACACAGCCACAGAGAGGTATCTTTCCCCATACCATAGTGTATGGCAGCATTGATGTTCAGGTACAAAAATATTTGTTTGGTCTGAAGTCTGTACATTTTAGCATCTTGCATCCTTTGCTTCAGAGTTCGGAAAACTTAATCTTCAATCCTAAATGGCATTTTAAATGAGCCTTTAAAAATTAACTGTTTACAGACCACTAGTTGTATGACTACTAAGAACACTGTACTTATTTTTTTCCAAGCAAGAAAAGCATCAATGCTTTTGAATTGTCATAACACAGTATTTCAGATGCATAAGCCATTTTGTGTAAAATAAAGACACAGACATAAGACATAGTAAGAAGTATTAAGTGAATAAAACTTAATTTGCTGGATACCTTGGATTTGTCTGGATTTATCATATGAAATGATAATGAGTATAGCAATATTTAGATGTGACTGTTTTCAAACCTCAAATCAAGTATTCACTCAGGACAAATTCACGATTATCCTAACTTTGCTAGGTTTGCCAAATAATACTTGTTTACAAAATATTATATTTAACTTTAAATAAAAAGTTATATCCAAACATTAACCAGACTACTTCTTGCACAGCACTCTCAATATTCAGTTCACTTGCACTGGTTTGTGGGTTCACAAAATAATTCTTAACAATGAGCATGAGTTAAAATGAAATCAAAGTATTTCCAGCCAAACAAAATGAGTATGCAACATTAATTTATAAAATCCAGGCAATTATACAGCTTGTTTTGGAACAGCTGTTGAATTAGTAATTTGATATGCATAAGAAACATACTCTTTACCAAGGAATGAGACACAGCAAAGGAGAAATATCATCCTTTCAAATCATATTTTGAATTTGCCTTCTTTTTTGCCTAAGGCTTAAATTCTTTTAGTTCCATGGCAGAATATTTCACAAAAAATTGAAAACAATTAAGAAGCCTTAAATCAAAAGCACTATAGACAAGCTAGCTCCCATGCAGACACAGTACAAATGAAGTAAGGTCATATGAATGAGACTACTATTACATCTCAGCTATTTGCACCTGCACAGATAAAGCTCTCAGGTTAACTAAGCGAGCCACTGTTGACACATCATACAACTCTCAGTCTCTGGTGAATATATGGAAAACAGAGATGAGAATTTACCTCTCTATATATGCTCCTTATATTTTTTACTTAAGTTACCCTACATTACCTCAATGAAAAAAGAGCATGCACAGTTCTTAAATCCTAAATGAGTGAAGCCCTCAGAGCAGCCTTCTCTTTACAACCTTTAGCAACCTGAAGGACCTAAAAGAAACCTGGAGAGGAACTATTTACAAGGATGCGTAGAGACAGGACAAGGGGGAATGGCTTTAAACAAAAAAGGGTATGTTTCATTAGCTGTTAAGAATACAACCGTGCTCTGTAGAGTGTGATGAGGCACAGGAACAGCTTGCCCAGAGAAGCTGCGGATGTCCCATCCCTGTTTAAGGCCAGACTGGATGGGACTCTGAGCAACTTTGTTGACTGGAAGGTATCCCTCCTCATGGCAAGGGGGATGGAACTAGATGACCTCCAAGTCCCTTCCAGCCCAGGATATTTTATGACTCTATTAGATGAGAGAAGGAAGAGCTTGATTCCTAATCAGAAGCAAAGAGAAGTTGGAAAAAAAAGCTGACAATACTTACTGAGTTAAATCTTGGCCACATTCTGCACATAAGCCTTTCATAACAACAGGATGGCTGCATCCTTCCAGTCTCACCAAGACAGTCCTGAAAAAGACATAGGCATTCCATTTACAGATGGCAGATTACAGACATGTAGATCAGTAACCCACAGATTGAATTAATTCAAATAATAAATTCTGGTTATGACTTGCGTGTCAGCCCCTTGAGATATATGCTTTTGCCACAACATGGTGAAAAAGACAATAATCTATATTTTCAAATTATTAATTCTGACAAGTTTAGAAGTCACTGAATCATATACTAAGGTCAGTTTCTAACCACAGTTTAGCAAGGAAGTTTGATGAGAACAAGTATTGTTTGTCCAGGAACAGTTTACATTCACTTACATACAACCCCCCATTAACACCCTACTGAGCTACACAGAAATGAAAATCAAATGCAGACACTTCAACATCACAGAACAGCTCTGATTCTCTTTTAAAAATCACTGAGTACAATCACTAACCTAACACTGTCAAGCCCACCACTAAACCATGTCTCTAAGCACCACATATGCATGTCTAAAATTCATCCAGGGATGGTGTCTTGACCTCTTCCCTGGGCAGCCTATTCCATTACTTGACAATCCTTCCTGTGAAGAAATTTCTCCTTATATCCAGTATAAACCACCCGTAGCACAACTTGAGGTAATTTCCTCTCCTCCTATTGATATTCGGAATAAGCAACTCCCATCTGGCTACAGCCTCCTTTCAGGCAGTTGCAGACAGTGATAAGGTCCTCCCCTTGAACCTACTTTTCTCCAGACTAAACATCCCCCACTCCCTCAGCTGCTCCTCATCAGACATGCACTCTAGATTCCTTATCAGCTTCATTGCTCCAGGACATGCTCTGGACCTGCTCCAGGACTTCAATGTCCTTTTTGTACTGAGAAGTCCAAAACTTAACCCAGGATTTGAGGTAAGCCTCACCAGTGCCGAACACAGGGGCAGACTAGCTCTATACCAACTTAATCTTATTATTTTCATGGCAGATGTATATTGTTTCAATCTTCTCATAAAAATATTTTAATTTCTGATCCTTAAGATGACTCACCACATCTTAAAATAAAGACATAGGAACTGATATTTTATTCTATCTTTTAAACAATGGCTAAACCAAACCAGAAATTAGAGCTGGAAACAGAGAAGTGTGACAGTCATTATTCCAAACTCTTTAGAAAGACAACTATTTAGTTGGACTATTCAACTTTTCAGCTGAATAGTCCAACTAAAGTATTCCTCTTCCAGTTATCAAAATTCCCGGTCTTGAAAATATCATTATTTATTTTCTCTCAAACACTTAACAGTCACTATAAGAGACTTGTTTTCTTCATTACAGATGGAAAAGTGATCTTTCAGGCTTCCTATTTTTAAAAAAATTTAAGATGCAGATAGCAGTAGTTCAGCTACTACAAAATTTCACCAACTCCATAATAATGAGCTACAGCATCTCCCTAATATTTAAAAAAAAATTTAAAGGTCAAGGAGCTAAAAAAATGCAATGAAAAAGCAAAAAATCCAATGAAATCCAAGCTCTTTCATAAACTGACTGTACTGCTTCAAACCTGTACTGCAATAAGCAGACTGCAACATGAAGAAAACAGTTTTGCATGCCCAAATCTCTCACTCATATATCTGACTACTAAGCATTTGGGAATTCTAAGTAGAAATTAAATTTCTAAATAATACCTGCAACTGCTTACTTGCAGTGTGCCCCTTGTTCTTCAACAACCAGAAAAATGATGACTCTACTAACAAAACTGCAGTTCATGCCCACAGTGAGGATTATTTTCCTCCTCGAGAGCAAAAACTAGAGTCAGGTCAGGTTTATTTCAAAAGAAGTTTTCACAAGCCATCATACTACCAATATTACCATTTACAAAAGTGCAGATCTATGTCCTTCTCACTGGCAGCCATTATCTACTTGGAAATTACACCTCCTCTTCCTATGTAGGCATCTTAGAGCTCTTTTTTAAAAAAAACATGGTATGTATTTCACAGAAAACAAATAACTAGTCTTGGCTTTTTAAAAGAACTACACAAGACAAAGTATTCTAGTGGCCCTTCACTAGTGGCAATTCATTGTGTGATTATTTCACACATTTCACAGAATTTTGGTCTCCTCTCATCCCCCATGTTTGCATTTTTTCATTTGACTCTTCTCTCCATTCCCTTTGGCAGTATCTCTGTCTTTCTGCCTTTTACCTTGATTCATTGCTAAACTCCTTATTAGGCTACCAATGCACATTAATGACCATGTCAGAATTTTTCCTTCTCACCATGTGTTCAGTTTATGAATCAGAAATAACAGACACATCTAAAAGGCAAAAAATGTGCCCCACAGTACAAGGTACAGAAACATGCTTAAGAGATTACAGTGTGAGTTTATACCCCAAATGGATTTGTTTTCAATAGTTCAGAAGAAAAAATGCCAGCTTAGAAGCCACAATATCTCTAGACATTCTTTACTTCGCAGTCAAGGTAACCTCACACTCCAGGTATGCAACAGGAGAAGCTGGTATACTCCTGGGATGAGATGTGATTCAAAATTGAACATGCAAGAGCAATGGTTTTTATAAGAAAATTAGAGCTCTAAATTACTCATTGCTGCTGTTCCTAAACAGCACCTCTGTACCTTATTTCAAACCAAGCATGCCACTAAACAGCAGTTTTGCCCCCGCAAAATCTAAACATAACCAGAACTCCTGGCCACACTTACCTGTGCTGGAGATAAAACAAAAGTACATGATACAAAGTCCTCTGTCATATTGTTCTCTGTGATGTTTAACTCTAAGAGCAGAGGAAGAACTCCAAAGCCCTGATAAACTTCTGAGCAACATACAACCAACTGGTCAAGTTTCAATTACAATTGTCAGGATCTTAGGCAGACATCTCTCAGGGAAAAAGCCAAACATTACTTGGTGCTGCAGAAAAAAAGCCTGAACTCTACTAAGGCCTAGGCATACTTAAATTTTAGCATATGTGTTTTAATTACTAAAAAGGAACAAACACAGATCTCAAGAAGAATGATTTTTTAAAATTTCACACCTAGAAGCTTTCCTTTTATTGCTGAAGTGAGGGATTTTCAAAATGTCATGTCCAAGATCGAAGCCAATTATCAAACAAAAGTGAGCTGAATCCAAGTATGTATGTATGTCTGGTTTTAAATAGCTGCATAAACCAAACACAGGTCTGGGGCCTGACCTCTTCTCAGGGTTGTAAGTGAAACCCACTTAGAAGAACACAGCCTTTTTCTATTCTTTTTCTGCAAAGAAAAACAGATTTCCCCTCCTACCCCTTCAAATAAGAGGAACTAGGACACGCTTTGCTGCTGGCAACATTAACAGCATCTTCATCTTCTTTAGGACCCACACGATGATAAGCAGAGCTAATTGGCTACTTCAACAATAGCATTCCAAGGAAACCACCTCAAAAGGTGTAAAATCTATTTCTAGTTTTACAAACTGTCCCAACTGTGCAGATAAGCTAGGTGAAGCAACTGGGTAAGAACCACTGCACTGTGACAAGCAATCTTTTTCTGAGTAACCATGGAAGTGGTAGACCATTCCAATACCCAGTCTGATAGCTAAATGACTGCAACAGAACCATAAACTACGCATGTGGTTTCTTCAGTACAATGAAACTTGAACTAATAAATAAGAAAACCCAGTCTGGGCCCCTACTCAGATTCCTTCCAGAAGTACTTGTAAACACAGAAATTAGATGTGCCATTAAGGTAAAATTTTACTTCTTGTGTCCACAATTATGAATAGGAACAGGCATTTACCAACAGCCTCAGGATGCAGCTGATCATAAGCTCATCACTGTTCTCCCAGTACTGATACACATTCTATTTCTAAACCAAGTCTTTTAATAATATCTGCTTTAAATAAGCAGCATGTAAAGCAAAAAGAAAGAAAACAAAAAACAAACCAAAACAAAAAAAAAACCACACAAAAAACCCCAAAAAAACAAGGGGGAAAGCTTTCATGAAATCCAACATGAACATTTTGCTTTTATTTACAAAGGAAGTCAATGCCTGTGATAATCCTAAGGCTTGGTCACTACTGTTGACTCCAAATGGAAGAACTTTGATCAAGCATAACCATGGCACTGGTTCCCGATAACTGAATTACATTGGAAAGCCAAAACAGAGTTCTTCTATTTGTGTTACACCACAGTTATAGCAACCAGTTTACTGGATCAAGGGAACCCATTGTAAACAAAAAGCATTCCCCTAAACATTTCATTATTGCTTGACTTTTTTGTGTTTGTTGGTCTTTTTTTTCAGCATGATCTAACACTTCCAGCAGCAAGTGCAGGAGTTACAGAAAAACAGAAACAATAACTTCTTGAGATTTTTTTTTCCATAATAAGCAAACTGCCTGCATCAAAAGGGGCTGGCCAGCTGCAGCACACAAATACAGTGGCCATAAGATGTCTTCATAGTTGTCTTCAGTAAAGCTCTGTACCTTAAGGACACTCAGCATAACACAGTAAAATAGAGAGGTTCCCTCTGTTACTCAGAACAAGTCTAACCTGACTGTACATTAACCATGGCCTTCTATTACAGCTTGGCTTCACTTCCAGAGACAACAGCTCAAATGTCATGCTGCCAGAGAAAGGCAATGGCCTACATTCTTTACTCCCCACCCTCACATTTCCTCTGAAAGCCCATCCCCTCCTCTGGCACTACCAGAAAAGATGATTTCAGTACCCTGCAAGGTCGAACTCACTAGTCCTAACCAAGTTTTCTGCTGGTTTTAGAGTTAAGCAGCTGGTAAGACCAGTCCAGCAAGGGTGATAGATCAAAGCTGCAAACGTTCCACAAACATGGCTAAGACTGGGGAAAGACAGACACAGTTTGAGCAACTCATATTTTCTCTCACCAGGCCACTTAGCATTTATCTTGCCTATCTGTAAAGACTTGCTTGGACAACTCCAAGTCATGGAAGCGTAAGTTTTATTTATTATCCTAAAGTCTGCTTCCAGGTACCATGCATAGGCATTGAAAATATAGTGCAAATTCATGAGATGAAGCTACTG